ATCTGACAAGAGAGGATTGGTTAAGACAGTGGTACAGGAGTATAAAAGACGCTGCTTTTTAGAACTCGGTGTGTGTCTTGTTGGAGCGGAGACTCCCGGCACACCCAGCACTGCTTTGTCTATTGTTTCTCACCCTAAATCAATTGAACCCAATTAAAAATATATTTATATTTAAAACTGGCTCATTTGATTATAACATATGGATAAAAGAATAAAGTATATAAGAGATGGGGGAACAGTAAAGATGGCTATTCTGCTGCAAAAAAAAGTTGTCGTGTCCATCTCTACCACGACAGTAAAGCTTGCTTGATTTACAGAATACACCTCTACAAAGCCAGGAAACTTGTGAAATGAGGATTTTCCTGTATTGCTGGCCCTAGAGTTGTATTACTTGAGTTTAACGAGGTTATAGCATACCAAGTACTGCAGAATATTTATCCAAGTATAAAACTAATGAAATGATCTTTTCAGAGGCATTACATTTTGACCCTTTTTACTAACCTTGTCAAGACACAGAAAATGCATGCTTTTAGAATTTTGCCAGTTTTCATCTGTGTGCCACCTCTTTATTAGAAGTATATCTAAAAAGTGTTAATTTGTTGCTGTTTGTTTCACCTTTCAATTACCAGTCTGTAGAGCAATAATTCCTGCATGAACAAAAACATCCTCATATTTACTGCAGCTTGGAGGTTTATGCAAATCTTTTGAAACAGTCCACTGAGACACTATCTCATCATTTTATATATACTTTTATATATATACAAAGACTGGAAAAGCTGCCAAGCATTATTTAACAAAGGCAATCCTTTAATCTCTGTCAGCACTAGATTTTACAATTAAAGCATAAAGCTAGAAATTACTTTTTCACCTATTCATGGCTATCTATAGTCTATGCCAGAGTATGTGGGAATGTTGTTTCTGAATTAAAGGCTTGCTGGAATTCCACAAAATTTTCTAAACAGGAAGTGCTCCAGGATATCTATCCATGAGAATATAGGATTTTTTACTGTTAACCAAGATATTGAAGGTCAGACTGGACAGGGATCTGAGCAGCCTGATCTAGTTAAAGATGTCCCTGCTCATTGCAGGATAAGTTGGACTAGATGACCTTTAAATGTCCCTTCCAACCCACACTGTTCTGTTCTTTCCTCATACTGTGCTTTGACCATGGATGACATTAGGTTATCTGAAAAGAGTTCCAAAGCAAATCTGCATATAAAGTTGACTATTAACTACAGTTTCTGGAGGATGACCCCCCTCAGATAGCCTGATGCAGACAACCCAGTACAGCTTTACAAAAGTAAGCTGCCAGCCAAGAACACACTGCTGCCGAAAGTGGGTGATAAATCTGTCCCAGCAGAGCTGTCAGAGACAAACAGTACTTGCCTGACTTGACATAAGTATGTTCCAGCTTCACATCACTAGGACTGTGACTATAACTGTGACACTGACCAGTAGCAGCCCTTTTGCATGCTTTGCTATGATCCAGCCACCTCAAACTGTTTCTTTAGTCTGGCTGGTTTTCTGGTTTGACACTTCTAAAACAGGTAGCTTCATTTATTCTTTTATCCTTTTTAGCTGCACAGGTTCCTGCCATTTTGAGAGTGCAGACAGTTACACTTGTTGCATGTAGCTCTATCCTCTTTGACTCACGCAAACCATTGTTTCTTCTTCAAAAATACTTTATCACTTTTTTATAAAGATCAGTATATGCCCTTAAAAGAACGCCCTTAAAAGAACACCCTGACAGCTAACCACTCAACCTCAAAAAAGGTACAAAATAAAAAAGATGTCTGAAATCTCTTCCAAAAGCTGGAATTGCTTCCAGCTATCATAATTCTTCTGGTTTTGGATTAGTATTCTGAATGCAGATATATAGGCAGTAGAAACCTTGCAGTTAAGATGACCAGCTCTGTGTCAGGAACTGATATCAAATCCCTCTAGTGGACTGTCACATTTATGAATGTCACAGCTCTGGTAATAATTCTTTACCACAGTAGTTCTCAGCCTGTGGTCTGCGGACCTCTGGCGGGCTGTGATGTCATCACAGGGGGTCTGTGAAGGCTTAAAGCAGGGGTGCAGAAAGTCCAGCCCGGAAACACTGGTCTGGCCTGCAGCAAGCACTGCACCTCCTTTTCCCCCAGCCCCCCCCTCCATGCTTCCCTCATACTCAAGCACCCCCCCCCATACACACACCCCCTGCCCTGACACACAGGGTGCTAGTATCGTTGGTGGGACCCACTTTAATTAGGTGTTTTATCTCTTACAGACATTTTCTTAACCCAATGGCCCTCTTTAGGGCCACAAAGGGGCTGAAGGCTGTTCCTACAAGTGGTGACCCTGAACCTGTAAACAAAAAACAGTTCCTGACACAACTGGTGAGTAAACTGAGCAGAGAAGGTGCCCTGCTGGATCTCCTCTTTGTGAACAGAGAAGGACTGGTGGATGATGTGGCAGCTGGAGGCCAACTAGGGCACAGCGATCATGAAATAATGGAGTTCTCTATTCTTAGAGAGGTCAGGAGAGAGCTAAGCAGGACTGACATCCTGGACTTCAGAAGGGCTGACTTTGTCTTCTTTAGGCACCTGCTTGAAAGGATCCCCTGGCAGACTCTCCTGAAGGGTATAGGGGCCCAGGAAGGCTGGGCGCTCTTTAAGAAGGAAGTGTTAATGGCTCAGGAGCAGGCTGTCCCAAGGTGCTCTAAAAGAAGCCGGAGCCAGAGAAGACCACCCTGGCTGAAGAGGGAGCTTTGGCTGCAACTCAGGGAGAAAAGGAGAGTTTACAGCTTCTGGAAGAAGGGGCTAGACACACACAGTGATTACAAAGAGGCTGGGAGGCTATGCAGGGTGCAAATCAGGAAGGAGGTCTAAAGCCCAACTGGAAATTAATCTGGCCTCAGCAGTCAAGGACAATAAGAAAAGTTTCTATAAGTATGTCAGTAGGTAAAGAAAGACCAGGGAGAGTCTCCATCCCCCGCTAGATGCAGAAGGAAATTTGGTAACAAGTGATGAGGAGAAGGCTGAGGTGCTTAATGCCTTCTTTGCCTCAGTCTTTAATAACAAGATTAGCTGTACTGAGGGAATCCAGCCTCCTCAGCCAGAACACAGAGACTGGGAGAACGACCCCCCTGCAATCCAGGAGGAGACAGTCAGTGACCTGCTGCATCACACAGACACACACAAGTCTATGGGACCAGATGGGACACACCCAAGGGTGCTGAAGGAGCTGGCTGGGGTGCTCGCCAGGCTACTTTCTATCATTGACCAGGGAGGTCCCGACTGATTGGAAATTGGCCAATGTGACGCCCATCTATAAGAAGGGTTGGAAGGATGATCTGGGAAATTACAGGCCTGTCAGCTTGACTTCAGTACCTGGGAAGCTGATGGAGCAGCTCATCCTAAACACCATCAGGCAACACATGCGGGACACCCAGATGATCAGGCCCAGTCAGCATGGGTTTGTGAAAGGCAGGTCCTGCTTGACAAACCTGGTCTCCTTCTATGACAGAGCGACCTGCTTATTGGATGAGGGAAAGTCTGTGGATGTAATTTACCTTGATTTTAGTAAGGCCTTTGACATCATTTCCCACAGCATTCTTCTGGCAAAAATGACTGCTCGAGGTTTGGACAATCGCACACTTCGCTGGGTAAAAAACTGTCAGGATGACCAGGCCCAGATAGTTGTGGTGAATAGAGTTAAATCCAGCTGGCGGCCGGTCACGAGTGGTGTCCCCCAGGGCTCAATTTTGGGGCCACTCCTGCTTAACATCTTTATTGATGATCTGGACGAGGGGATCGAGTGCACCCTCAGTCAGTTTGTAGATGACACCCAGTTGGGTGGGAGTGTTGATCTGCTCGAGGGTAGGGAGGCTCTGCAGAGACCTGGACAGGCTGGAGCCATGGGCTGAGCCCAACTGGGGGAGTTTCACTAAGGGCAAATGCCGGGGGCTGCCCTTGGGCCACAACAACCCCCAGCAGCTCTACAGGCCTGGGGAGGAGTGGCTGGAGAGCTGCCAGTCAGAGAGGTACCTGGGGGTGCTGATTGACAGCCAGCTGAACAGGAGCCAGCAGTGTGCCCAGGGGGCCAAGAAGGCCAATGGCATCCTGGCTTGTGTCAGCAATAGCGTGGCCAGCAGGGACAGGGAAGGGATCTGACCCCTGTACTCGGCACTGGTGAGGCCGCATCTCGATGACTGGGTTCAGTTTTGGGCCCCTCGCTCCAAAAAGGACATTGAATGACTCAAGTGTGTCCAGAGAAGGGCAACAGACCTGGTGCAGGGTCTGGAGCACAGGTCGTACGGGGAGCGGCTGAGGGAACCGGAGGTGTTTATTCTGGACAAGAGGAGGCTGAGGGGAGACCTCATCGCCCTCTAACTGGGGATGAGTCTCTTTAGCCTAGTAGAAAGTGACAAGGCAAGAGGGAATGGCCTCAAGTTGCACCAGGGAAAGTTCAGACTAGATCTTAGGAAGCATTTCTTTACAGAAGGGGTTGTTAGGGGTTGGAATGGGCTGCCCAGTGAGGTGGTGGAGTCCCCATCCCTGGAGGTGTTCAAGAGTAGGGTCGATTTAGAGCTTAAGGATATGCTGTAGGTGGGAACTGTGCTAGGCAAACAGTTGGACTAGATGATCTCCAGGGTCCTTTCCAACCTAGATGATTCTATGATGATTCTATGAAAAATGTATGGGGACTGAACACAGACAAACGAGGGGGGAGGTGAGAAGAATTATAAAAACTTTTAATCGAATTTTAATGTAAAAATTGACATGAAATTCAGAATTAGCATGTTAAAATACCATAAAATGGGCCATTTGAACACAAAGAGTATTGATGCTATTAATTTAAATTTATATGGAATAATTACAATAGATATTATAATGTGTGCATTAACAGATTGACTTATTTCCCCTCCTCTCCAAATTTGAAGACCCTTCATGAAAAAATTGAAATAAATATTTGATGCAGTCCAGTACTTTAAATCTTGAATTAAGTCTTGGTGGTCCATGGCCCCAAAAGGTATTTAAAGGGGGTTGGTGGTGAAGGAAAGATTGAGAGCCCCCGCTGTACCTCACTCTTTTCTACTGTCTAGGACTCCATCCCTACTACACACGTGAAATGCAAAGGATGGCTAGTCTTCAACTGCTGCCATATCCCATAGCTCCTGGCAGAGTTGGTGGCATATTTGGCTGAAGACAATCATCAAATGATTAAGGTTGTTTTGACTGGTTAGACTGGTCGCTCAGAGATAAGAAGGGAAGTTAAAGTACAAGTATAGGTCACACATGCCTATGTGTTACAGCATATAAATATGTATCTGGGGAATCAGATATTAAAAAATAGACAAAATCTCACATGTTAATTTATACCTTAACAATAAAATTTATCATTCCACAGGTAACTTCTAGCAAGGAAACCCTGTGACTACCCTGCACTGGCAGATGATGTCATAATGTATCTGAATTACTTGTTAATTGAATGCATTTTCATATTTCTATGAAAGGAGGTATTGATTACTTCCTTAGGCTTTTGAAACAGTGCCAAATTCTGATGTCCTTATAAGGCAGTTTGGTATATTTCCTTGATCTTAGGAAAGATCTTTTCACCTGAGCTTCAGTTTTCCACCTCTCTGACCTCTGTCTCTGGAGAGGGGAAGGACTATTAGGTCCATACAAAAGAAAGACAGTCTAAGAGGACAGTCTGTATTGAAAAGAAAGGCAGGACAGGTCAATGGAACAGGTGAGGCAAGATGCTTTATAGACAAGTTTTTGAAGAAAAGTGAGAGATCTCGATAGCTCAGTGAGAATATTACAACATGGACTAAGCACACAAGGAAAGAGCTTCCTCTCCTGAAGAAGGATGAATGTCCCAGACAAATCCAGCAAACAGCACTGAACTCTGTCTACAAAATCACTGTCACTTCTGTCATGATATAGTCAAACTCAGCTTGTTGCAAAGCACTGAAATAGACTACATGGTAGTTGAGGCAAGCAGACAGCATGGCAAACAGTCTTTTTTTTTTGTTAGTGTCAGTTTCCTTTTTTCCATGTTCAACAGGAATTTAAATGTACCTGTAGTTCCTCTGAATTCAGGTGTCCTCTGTGCATGTCTGCACTTTCGCCTGGTGCACATGAAGATAAAACACAAGGAACTATGTCAGCTTGTACCAGCTGAAAACATAGCCAGATCTCTAAGACAATTTGTGTGTGTGTTGAGGTCCATTCACATCTGAAATGGCTGAGTGTAACATTTTGAGTGATAGGATCATGGGATAAATCAGTCAGGGATGAAAATATACACTACTCTTTTATGACTTAGGGAAAGTACCTGAACATTGTTTCAGACAGCTCAGTGGAGATTCTCAATACAAAGCTGAGATCTAGGACCCAATCAGACAAGTGGAAATGTGGACAGCATACATCTCTAAACACAAAATCCAAAGGCATAGCCTCCTTTCTTGTTCCAGCCTATTCCAGCCACAATACTTTGTCTAATATAATATCAGTTAAAGAAACAGAGGCACTTCAGAGGCAGAGTTGGAGACCAGCAACATGGAAACAGGACAGTGTGTAAATGTTTTCAAAATTAGCAATAGGGAGGTGAAGTGAACATAAAGGTCCAAAAAAAAAAAAAAAAAAAAAAAAAAAAA